TAAGAGCTCTGATATAGAAAAAGGATATTTCTGGGCAGTGTACGATTCCTTACATACCTGTAGGTATAGCATAGTGGTAGTAGTAGATAAAAAAACAATGTTTATTGATAAATGAGTTTTAGTTTGGTACATTACATTAATTCTTATACGATGCTTTCAACTTGGGAAACAAACAAAAACATATTGCTTGAACTTCCTGCCATGACAGATTCACAAACGCAGACTCTACTACAAAACGATATTTACCCAAGATGACATTCCTTTTTCTCTTTTTCCTTTTAGTGGCCTAACAACCGCAACACCAACACGAGACCCCCGTATGAACTCAGATTGGTGGAAGTAGTTGCTCTCCGAAGTCTTGTCACTTTAAGCTTGTTGTGGCGTAGTCCAAGGAGCTAAAACCGAATCCACTCAGGTTCTTCTGAAGGCTGCTGGAAAACTCAAATTACCTGAGCAAACAACCTTGTCAGGCTCTTAACCGACCACTTGCACTGGTGGACTGTGAACACCAGGGGCCCGTACATTCAGCAGTAGCAGCAACAGCAATAATACAATGTTAATGATGCTGCGCCTACGAACATTGGTCATCTCTTCTGATCTATAGACAACATTAGACTTGGTTTATTAAGCACTTAGCTGCTTGATAGAAATTGGATTTTTCTTCCTTTTCCACTTCTTGTTGAAAGTGCTTTGATGCTTTGTGGCAGATTTAGGTATCAGTTGCTTCATCTGCTTTCCCGAGGTGAACAGACACTACCACTTCAAAATACCATTAATGCAAATACATTTTTCAGTCGTTCTTTTTCATGATTCATAGACCAATCTTTCTTTGCTTTATATAATACTGAAGGGGAATCTGCTCTTCAGTGAGTGCCCTGTAAAAGTTGTATCCATCTCTACATTTGTCTTCAGCTCAAATATTGTATCTGTCTTTTACACACCACTTCCCCTTCACTGTAACATACATACAAAAGAGCTTGTGGCCGGAGAGATTAGTAGCAGCCATGGTTTTCATGTTTCTTTGTATGCTCAAAAGTATGCATACTGTTGACGTCCAATCTAAACCACACTGTCACAACAGATTCTCTTCGCTGGCAAAGCACTTCAATAGAACATGCTGCCTTATTACAATATGTAAAACCCCTAGCTATAGTGTGTTTATACGATTCTTTTTCTGCTCGTCTCTTTTATGTTTGATGGTATGTCAAACGAGGCCTGGCACATCAAGAAATTCCCGAAGGCTAATAGTCGGTGGAAAAGTAACTATCAATATATTTCCCTCTTGGGGCGGCAGCAGCAGACGCAAAGATTAAGACTCAAACTGCAGCAATCAGTTGCCGTCCGTCATGGTCTTCTTGGACACCTTTTAAATATGTGTTCTTTCTCATGGTCTGTCTGAGCAACAAAAGCAGTGTCGTGTTTCTTTTAACACATTTCACTCTCACTACCTTTCCCTCAAGACAACAGTGGTCGCATTTCCAATCCCACTCTCTCTTGTGTGCTTCTCTGTCTGTTAACAGCTCCTATCTGTGATTTTGTTTCTATTTCTTTCTCTTCGCCTCCCCTTCGCCTCCTCTTTTAAGCTTATATCTCTCATTCATCTGCTCTCCTGTCTTTTTCAGTAGTTGCTCCCCTTGCCTTGCACACAAATAACTTTCTCTTCTTCCATTTTCTTCTTTGCCCCTGAGTTTGAGACTGGGAATTTCAGGGACACACCAAGGGCACATTTTCTCCCTCTAGCCTCTCCTGAGATTACCTGGCCCCCCCTGCATTCTTCTCCTGACTACCTTCTCTTGTGAGGTCCCCCCGGCGTCCTGCCATGTCACTTTGATGGCAGCGCAGGACTTAGTACTGTCTCAATAATGACTTGCTCACAAGCTGAGAAGTTGTCTCCAACAAAGACTCAGAAATGACTTTAAGCCTCCTCCTCCACTTGTAGAGTTGTGGAAAATGCTTTGCCCTCAGGTGCAAAGCTGTAAAATATCAGTAGTCATGCTGTCGTCCATTTTCTTCCTCTCTGTGAACACATAACCGTTAAAAAAGTAGACTCTAATGAGGAGCTCTGTGTGTATTTTTCAGATCTTGGGTAGTGTTGGGCAGTGGTTAATAGTGTGTGTTCCGTGAACTCTTTGTTTCTGCTAAGACAACATTTGCTCTCTCTCCAGTGCACGGAAAGGGAAACTTCCTTGGCAAATGGTATGTACTGCTTTCATTTGCCTCAGTCACACAGTTGGGGGACTGGTGGCCAAACCGACAGCAGCAGCACTAAAAGAGGCTCAGCAGTGTGACCACAAGAGGACGGACCAACAACACAATAATGATTCATCTCTTGATCTTTAATGGGGCATAATTTGGCAAAAAAACAACCCTGGCACTGGCTCAAACACTTTACTTTAAAGGGTTGTGACACTGAGGCAGATGAGACTGTGGGTGCTGGTAAAGGTGGAGGAGCAATCTTTGCACTGAAAGGAAGCAGCGTGATGGTAGGGTGTAGGTTTGACAGGGAGGTCAGACCTCAGGAAAAAATGCAAATGTTGACATCTGATTTGACGGGTGTGACCATGAAGAAAGAGGAAAATCTACTGACTCGTTTATGGATACTTCTACAAAAAATGTCTCTTACACACACACACACACACGCATATTATAAATATAGTGGAGAGGAACTAAGGACACTACTCTTGCCACATGACATCCACATGTTAAAGGATGTCACACATTTTTACGCCCTTTTAGACAAATTGTGATTTGTGAATACGGGCTATACAAATACAATTTGATCTATTGATCATTTCATTGATTGGTTGATTGACATTAGGATAAACGAGTCAGTCGAAACAATCCGACACTTTGAATCAACTGCCTGACATCTGACAACTGTACCAGACTGCCCTGTGTTTTCGATGTGTTTAGATAATTGAGGAAGTTAGCTGTAAAAGTTGCCTTAAAGCCAAAGACTTGGGTGTGTGTTGTTTACATCAACACTTATTAACAGTGTCTCTGACTGAGTGAGTTTCAATGTTACGTTACGTTTGGTCGATTATTATTATCATCAGTAACAGGAATGATGACTTCTGTGTGCAAACCCCCCCCCCCCTCGTTAAAGGTGATTTCAGTGGTTCCAAATAAAAGTGGTGGAAATATTGGATGGGAGTATGAGTGCACTGTCACACTCACCTGTCTGAATGTAAATTGCTAATGACTATAATACAACATTTAGAATAAAACACATAAAACAAATAAAATCATAATGTTCAATCACAGACAACCAGTGATGTAACTCATAAAAGAGTTGAAAATAATAAGAAGGATAACAGAAACAACTTGTAGGTGCTAGAGTTATATTATTTTTCCGGAGGCCGTCGCCCTTCGTCTTCAGCCTTGACTGGAGAATATCTAACAAAGGCCTTATTCATGATTTCTTCTAAACTTTATATTTCGTTATTGTGTTTCGTAGATCTGTATTTTGTGTTGCGGGTCGGACAAGTATCCACTCAAACCAGACACAACAGAACATAAGTGAGTGAGTCTCACAGCTTTGTTACGGCACTTGTCAAGTTTTTTGTGTTACCCCCATAAATAAAGGAAAAACATTGATTCCATGTGTCAGTTTGGAGGACAGCTGTTTCTGCTGCCAGCAGCCACGCAGCTGTACTTTGGGAATGTGCATCAGCTGGCAACCTTGTCTTGATTAAGGCTCCTCAGAGGATCACAGCGTGGCTTTAACTGACACCGCGGTCTCTATTGGCGAGATGTAGTCTCGCTTGAGAGAACGCCAGTAAGAAAAGCAGACGCACGACTGAGTGAGAGACTGTGGACTGGAACCTGCGCTAGTCCACCTGATACTGCTCGTCAGGCGATCAGCGTGTCAATGAGGACTTCTCTCCATAACAACCTTCCCCGGTGCAATTCAGTCATATGCCTAAACCCAGCAAAGTGCATCCATGTGCAATTAATTACTGTCACCTATCAGCATCTTGGGGAGAGGCTCGAAGTCAATGATGTCTTTTGTTCTTTACGTTGAGTGCTGTATTAAGTGTGGCGGATTGATAGAAGAAGAAGAAGCAGGGGTTGGCATTTCCCCCCCACTCATATTCTCTTATCTCTGTAGTGGTCCTGGTGCGCTTGCAGGCTTGAGAGACGCACACAAAAAAGACGACATATGAGAGTTCCGACAGACGAGTGATAATGAGTAGGGGCAGAACAAAGCGCTAATCACCGAGTGTTGTAGCATCTGCTGAAAAATGTCAGGAAGCTCAAGAACCGTGTTTGTAAATGTTGAAATAAACAAGAGCGGCACATCGGAGAGACAGGCAGAATCAGGCACCTGTCATGAGATGTATTGGTGTAAGCTTCGACACACATGTAGCTCAGTGAATTCTGCTTGTCATGCTGGATCAGGTTACAAGACCTGACAGGGCTCTGTGGTTGACATTGCTCCTGAACTTAGATCATTGATTTTTGTGTCGTTCGATCTAAATGTCGTCCTTTGTTTGGTGAATATCAAAATCAGCTTTCTTTTTTAAATGCTAGAAGGAACTGTGTGATTGCTGCCAGTGCAGAAATCACACTGTGATTACCTGTGTTTAAACCACACATAGTGATCTCGTTATTCATCATGTTTGGCTCATTCCTCATAGGAAATCATAAAAAATTAAAATCAACTGCTACATAGTCTTCACGAAAAGTCAGAAAACTTGTTGTCTCAACATCATTTTAACTACAGAACCGTATTTAACCATATTTACATCTAGCTGGGAGTGTGTAGTGCTGCATTGGTGCATGCACCAATCACAGAATTGTAGTTATGGCAAATGTCTATAATCAACACCTTCCTCTTCCTGCCCTGTGCACCAGTGTGACGATGACTTTCCCAGAGGTCACTCAGCCACGGCCACCGAGTGTTAAAAAATTATCTTTCAAGGCCACAGCTGTTGAGTCATCGCGTTAACTGCGAATGACCATCTCTCGAATCGTGTCGTGTGTGTGATCTTTCACAGGGGACCTGGCATCGGAAGACGAGTACCTGGAAATCCCATCCATCACCAGACAGAGGGCAGGGACGTACGAATGCACAGCTGTCAACGACATTGACACAGATGTTCAGACTGTAGACATCACCGTCAACTGTGAGTCTGCTGCTGAATTAAAGAAACACATTGTTTATGAACGTATAACGCTGATGAGTCGATTTGTCCATTAGTCCATTGACATAAATCAGAACACTAGCTATGTTTTTATGGTGATGTTATCGTTTAAATGATTTAACATGCAAAAGTGCCAAATATTTCCAGGTTTCAGGTACTTTAATATGAACTTTGCTTGCTTTACTGAGTGCAGGGCTGTTCAGACAAAATTTAATTTGTATAGATTTGTATAATCTTACAGCACTTTGCACAGAATATAGAGACCTTAAAATGTTATAGAGAAACCCAACAGTCCCCACAATGAGCAGCACTTTGGCAACTGTGGAGAGAAATAACTGAAGAGAGAGAGAGAGGAGAGAGGGACCAGGAACAACATCATGTTTCAGCACTGATAGACTACTTATTAAAGTGAAAACAATAGGAGTGATATTTATAGATATGAGGATGTTATAGCAGCAACAGTTAATATGATGATAATGATGATGACAATAATAATAATTGTTGTTGTTGTCTGAATCCTGCAGCTTTTAGTCAGAGATACCTGCAGAGAGAGACAACCAGGTGATTCGAATGAATCATATGTGACTGAGGACATTTTTAAAGAATTACACAATTTAATAGTGATAAGCAGTTCATTTTCAATAAAAAAATATTATTATTTATCAACAATTTATATAAAGAAAATTTGTCATAACCCTACAATTAAGACAAATATGATCGAATATCAGAATATGTCACTATATATATACGATATTGTTTTAATTTCAATACACTATGTTCATGTATTCTAATTCTCAATGGAAAGAAATGGGTTGAAGAAGACATGAAAGTCATGAGCTGCATAGTTACAGTTTCTTTTGTAAATTCCAGTTTTCCGGGTACACAGGGGTTTTATATTTCAGTCTACTTTTTTAGGCTTTGATCAAACAGGAAAAAAATCTGTTTAATAATCTGCAGTGTCTTGGCTGCAGGAGAAGGAGAAAGGACTGTATCACATTAAAACCTGAACACTTACCTCCACCTCATCATATCTCGACACATGCACTTTCACCACTGTAATAAATATTGTACATTATTTGACCTCATAATTCCTGTTGACCCGCAGTCGCGGTGCAGATCACAGCCATGAATCAAAACTGTAGCGGAGGAGTAGGAAATGCTGTGACCCCTCTCCTGATTTCCTTGACTTGTGCTGCCTCGTAGCCCTGATCACAGTACTCCTGTGTGCAGATGCTCCCACTGTGTCAGAGGGCAGAGATGTTGGAGTGACTCTGGGCCAGAGAGGAGTGCTGGAGTGTGAAGCTGATGCAGTGCCGGAGGCCGACTTTGAGTGGTATAAAGATGACCGAAGGTGATGGATATTAACATGAGCATTTGTCTACTAATTAGTTGTCAGTCACTGATCAGCTGCAAGTTACACAGGTATCGAGATAATCATACCAATGCAATGAATCCTTGATTATTGATTCAATTGTTATAGTGTACTTGGGTCTTAAAGTAATTTGGCGAGACTAATGGAGCACTCATGAAACGCTGTTCATTCACTTTGACTAATGCATTGCCGAACTGCACTGTGGTCATGCTGCTTAGCTTCGCTTGCAACACGAGCCGACACCGACACGGTTATTTGTATTCACTGTCTGTCGATGGACCTTTTTTTTTCTCCTACCTAGGATCTTCAATGGCTTTGATGGCATGGAGATTGTGAACACTGCGTCACTGTCGAAGCTGGTGTTTTTTAATGTTTCTGACGGAGATTACAGCAACTACACCTGTGTTGCCGTCAACAAACTTGGGAGCTCAAACACAAGCTTCCTTTTGTATGGTGAGTACAAGTTACTTCTGTTCCATGTATAATACTCTGCTTAGTCTATGTGTGAGTCACTCTCCATTCTGTTTGTGCAGATTAAGTAATTAAACTAATATCAATCATGATAGGAAACGAAATGACTATGAGTAGGCTGTGCTTCAAGATGGTGTCTTATTAATTCTGATTTGTCTACAAAGTTTCTTCAGACTCATGTTTTTTGTATTTTTTTGCCTGAAACAGTCATGAGAGGCTCTGTCCGAGCTGCCTGGTATCCTGCTGGCTCCTCACTCAGGAGGCCCCTCTCAGATACTCTGTCCACAGACCTAATGGCAATTTTAACATTTTAGTTTCCTTGGGGGTGCAGCAGCAGCCTCACGCACATTTGTGTGGGGAAACCTTGTGGCACACACATGGAATGTAGTACAATAGTTGGCAGTGAATATTAACAATCATGCCCCTTTCCCAACAACATGGAATTGTTTTTCATTATTGTTCATGTTCTTAATGTTTAACTGTCTGTGGCATTCTGACCATTTTGATCCAAGACCCAACCGTCAGGTCCCATTTGCCACGAAAAACAAAATTAGCAGATTTTCAAAAGCAACATCAAGCAAAGATGAAAGTGAAAACAGTGTGCTGCTTTCATCCCCATCCCTCACCCTGAATATTGGTCCCTGCTCCATGTAACGGAGCAGGTCTGATCCTGGGAGGAGTGTGTAACTGACTGATAGTCACAGCTGCAATGGACAGAATCAGTTCCCTGTTATTTCAAGAGTAATGCTGAACTGTTGATCAATATTATTTTTTAAGAAGCCATTAAGAAAAACTGAGTTAATCTCCCATATTCAGTGAGGAAACTAGACATATAAAGATTTCTAAACAGAGTTTAGTGGATTAGTTACAGTGGCAGCTCTTCTGGCTCAGGATGCCAGAGATCATGAGTGAAATCCACTGTTCACTTGTGTCTCAGTTCGATGGGTGGGACTACAGTCAGAGCTCTGGTCTATAGAACGACAGGCTTATTTTGTACATGCAAAACACGCGGCCGCTCTGGAACAGACCCATTAGGAATGAATCCCACGTGTGGCTGCAGAGAGTGCTGTTGCTCGGTAAAGTCACATAGTGCTGTGCAAGTGCAAATCGTGACAACATCTGTGTGCACGGCGCCCTCCGCTAAAGGTGATTTCGGTGGTTCCAAACAAAAGTGGTGGAAATATTGGATGGGAGTATGAGTGCACTGTCACCCTCACCTGTCTGAATGTAAATTGCTAATGACTTAAATTTGAATAGCACTCTTCCAGTCTTATCGACCACTCAATGTGCTTTAAAGTCACATTCACCCACTCACACAGATATGCACACAGCGGCCCTTTTGCCATCGCACACCATCCACACACTGTTGCCTCAGCCTTCAGGCACACTCGGTATCTTGCCCACGGACACTAAGGGGAGCCGGTTCTTGAACCAAGTGACCTGGGCCACAGCCACCCGAACGCCCAGCTGGATGAAAAAGTTCTGCATAAATGCTGTGAGCTGCACAGTGCGGAAGCAAACCTGCAAGCTGGAAAGTATTTTAGGCTCATGTGTTATGGGAGCAATATTCATTCAAGCGAGTATGCACCATCTTGAAGTCCAGAATCCTTGAATAACTCTATGACGTAGGAGTTCCCAAGAGAACGTAAAGGTCACAGCTGGAGGGTGGAAGGGTAAATGAATTCAGTGATTAATTGTGTTTTTTTATTCTTATTTAAAGGTTCAGTGTGTAAGATTGGTGAAAGGGATCTATATCTATAGATACAGAAATTGAATATAAAATAATCAAAGTGATGTCTTCACCAGTGTGTGATGGTCTAATTGTTTGAATTGTTGTTTTCGTTACCCTAGAATTGGTCCTTTATATTGAAATACTTATATTTACACAGGGAGTGGGTCTTCTGTACGGAAGGCCGTCGTGTTTTTAACAGTAGCCCACACTGGACAAACTAAACACTGCAGGTTCTCTGTCATGTTTAAAAAGGCAGAGTGAGGTGAAGAGTATTCAGCTGCAACATGCAACTTCACGACTAGATCACTAAATCCTACACACTGAACCTTTATCCATTGCCCAACAAATAAGCTGACATTTGATTGGATTGCATGTTTGTGCTGTTCAGGAAGTGTCTGGTGTAATGTAAACAGTATGTAGACTGAATTGAGACACTAGGCTGTGCCCTCCTGTGTCTGCAGACTCAACATCACCGTCTCCTTTGTTGCAGATACTGATTTGACTTCTTTCTTATAGTTCATTCCCACATCTCACTCATATGAGGCATGAAAAAAAAAAATTGAGAATGGAGTTCTTTTTTAAATACTCCAAAAATAACCAACACCCTTGTTACAGTAATGAGAGAAGTCTTCAACTCCTGGTATCACATGACAGATCTGTTCCTGTGGCCTTGTTTCAAACCAACGAAATAACTTAATATTGCTCTTAAATCTAAAATTGTGCAGATAATCACCTTTTTTATCAACAGTCAGTAAGAATTAAGATGATATGGATTCAATATGAACCTTATCAGTTTGAACTCTTCACTATGAAGCTGAGTGGCCACTACGTAAAAGTCTATTCAAGCAGCTTAATTCTCATGCTTTTCACAAGTGTTGTCAGCGATGTGTTGCAGTTCTGCTTCCAACATGTTGCTCTGTTTCATTTGTTTCCCTGGTGTAGTGGTAATTGAGCCCACTAGCTCAACGCTATTGCAAGGTTAGTATTCTGCACCAGCATGCACTTGAGCTGTTGTAGATCGAAAGTGTTAACTGCATGCTGGGACTAACATTACCATTTTCACAAACTGGATGCAGTGTCACTCTGTTTGTTTCTTCTGTGTTTAACAAGAAGACGCTAATCATTCTCAGCTCTTTGATCTTTTCAGAAGTGTTGTGGTTTCATTTCTCTTTCTTCCTTTAATGAACTGATATGTTAGCACTGTTGTGTGGCAGTAGTTGTATCTCTGTGAAAATGGTCAATGTAGCCTGTTGCACTAATCATATTTCATCTCTGTCCTTTTCAAACCTTACTGCCTCTCTGTGTGACATTGGCCTCATTTTGTTTTTTGCATGCTCTTTTTACAATGTAAGTATTTTACTTTTCTTTTCGTTATCACCAATGCTGCTCGTGCGACTGTTTGAACATGTTTATATTGTATTTCAATTTTACACGTACACAGTGGAAGCACACATAGAGAGCTGTAAAAACTCACTGCAGTCCGAAATGTTTCTTGTATCATCAAAATAGTGAGTGTAGATTTTAGGTTTGTGGTGTAGATTATTTTTGTGAATGTCTCTGTTTCTGTCTTTTAAACGTGCAAAGCTATGGTGCAAAGAACACCTCGCCCATCTTGTCATTTAATTTGTCCTTGTGGGCCGTGGTTGCAGCATCTTGTTCGCAACCTGACGCCATTGACGGCAGAACTGTATTAATGGCTTTGATTTTGACTGTGAGTGAACGTCATTATTCCAATTAGCCATATGCAGGATTAGGGATAATCCACTGTGACAGGGTAATTGGATAGATGCCCCAAAGGAAACTGTGGTGAACTCATGGAAATCCAAAGGAAATGAGTGCTCATTGTGTGACAAGCTTCAAAGAAAAAGTTCAAATTTGTCCTCAATCCTCGTACAATACATTCATTTATTCAGCTCTCGCTTCATCCCTGAAAATAGCATGATGAAAATGTGTGTGTTTCTCTTGCATCATACAATTGCATTGAATTTTAAAACAGTGTAATACTCAGTAATACCTGAACACCACAGGTGCTTATAAATGCTTTGAACACTTATATTTGAAGAGAACTCACTGATTTTTGACTTCATTATTGTTAAATGTGAATCTTTTAAATCTTCCATGTGTCTCTTTTATCCTTACTTTTTTTTCTTTTCTAATGGAAGAAAACGTTTGTTTCTACATACTGCACTTACTTTATTTTACGGTATATATAATATATACGCATTATTAAATACACTAAGAACTGGTCAGGTAAAATAATCACCAAAACATTACCAGCCACATACATTTGCTGACTCCCAGTTACCACTGGCAAAAAGCAAACCTGCAAGTGAAAGCATCATTGTAACTCCTGTGGGTTTTAAGACCAGTCCTCAGTCCCTTGAATTTCCTTGTGACAGAGAAGATTACCTTCTCTAAGCAACACATGCTGAGCAGTGCCCAGTTTTAATCCTTTTAAAGTTCAGTCCAGCATTTGATGTTGCAGACCATGTAATTTGATCGTCACACACAGGTACTATCTGAGTGTACTTCACCTCCTGCCTCTAATGGAAGCTTTTACTGTAGCCTACGTATCATCATCATTTTATGTGCAGTTTATTTATGGTTCCCTACGAAAACGTTTTCTCCTGATCTGGTTTACCTGCCTCCATCAACCGTTATCAACCAATCCATGCAAATGGGAAAGTCTTTGCCTGACCTTAACTAAACGCTATGAATTACTTGAATTGACATTAAAACTTGAAGTACTGCAGCAAACAAATATAAATTGTCTGTAAAAAATCAATTTGCTTTGCCAAATTAGTGTACATATAGCTTTTGGGAGATTCAATTTGATTAATCTACAAATTCAGCATCCATGCTACTTGATCCACTCCACGTTTCAATGATAGTGGACATATGTATTGATCTGTGTGGTTTCACATTGTTTGGCATCACAGCTGTAGAGCAGGAAGGACAGTGAGGAAAGCAGCTAATAGTTTTTACATATAATCTCATGTTGATTGCATGTCGCCTTGTATTCACACCTCCTACTCCCTAATCCAAATCCCTAAACAAATTGACTGACATCAGTGATGCAACTATAACTACTAATGATGTATAATGGTTTGCATGTTGAAAATATAGTCTCACATAGTGTTCTCATACAAAGACTATATCATCTGCACAATTCCGGAATGTATTAAGTCAATACTAGCCCTCCCCCAGTACTGATAACACAATGGTGAAACTTAACCAGGTGTTTTTTTTATCTTTCTTCTTTCTCCCTCCTGTCAGGACCGAGAGCAGTTCAGGATGGTAGCGGTGGCGCACTGGGTGTCCACTCACACACCTGCCTCCTCCTCCTCCTCGTGCTTCTGCCCTTCCTGCTCATATTTTAAAGAGGAACGGATTTGAACATACACCTGTGTGTGTCTGTGTGTGTGTGTGTATGTGTGTGTGTTTGTGTGTGTGTGTGTGTGTGTGTGTGAGTGAGTGAGTGAGTGTGCGGGCACGCACATGTGCGCTTGTGAGTTTGTTCTTTTGGTTGTTTTTTTCTTTCAACCAGAACCATAAACTGATGCACAGTGAGTGCATGAAGTACCAAGCTATGTAATGATGTTGACACATTAGAACATTAGATAAGTACATCAGCTTATTTTGTGTTGATTTCCTTTTTTTGTTTTGTTTTAGTTTTTAAAGATGTAACAGATGTTTCATATCTTAACTGAATTATTTTGGATATTCTTTCTCACTAAATTATAGTATTCAGTATCATCTCTTTTTCTCTGTCAAACGTTTATTTTTCTTTAAATGAGGCATCTCTTATTCAAATGGAATTGTTTTTATTTTAACCGCATTCCATATTCATCTCAAATCCAGGAAAAGGAATTTTTTTTGTAAAAGAGGTGAATGTTAAATACCTCAAAGTCAAACAGAGACAGTGAAACAGAAGGAATTGAGGTTACCCTTAGGCTGAAAGCCTGGTATTATCATATTCTAATGTATAATAATTATCATTCAGTCTGGTTGTTGAAAGCAGAATTGTTTTTGACCTTCAAGTACTTTTGTTCTCAGCATTATAGTGGTATACTTGCAGTTGTGACATGCTAAAATTTAAATTTGATTTCTCTGTTTTATTTAGTTTAAAATGTTTGAGAAGGGAAAATATGAAGCTGTAATTATTAGGACAAATATCCTAGTTTAACGTCTTTGTTGTATTTTTTTTTTTTTCTTTACCAGTACAGTTGTACACAATAATGGTGTCAAGAATAATTATGTTATAATTGAGTAGTGAAAATGAAAGGAGACACTACTCTGCTTGTGTGGAGTCAATGTCTGACTTGAGTGATGCAAATTGACTAATGCTGTCGCTACTTGTTTGAACATCATGCAATTTCTACACAACACAGCTGTTGAAAAAAATGTTCCTGTTCATGTTACAAACCAGCAGTGGAAGATTAGAGACCACTCAGTAAGACCATGTTAACGAAATAAACACTCTGCATGCATTTAGACACCAAGAACCCAAAGACTTAAGAAGTTTATACAGCATCACACACGTCTGTTTCCTTGTCTTAGCACCAAACACAAACACCATGATTCATGGTATTGTCTTATCACAAACACGTCTTGTTTTAAAAGGAGATGATGTCAGAGTGGGGGAAAAAAATAGTTTCAAATGATTGACACCTTTTTAACCAAAATGCAGTGTGTGGAACGTGACTGTGAACTTTCCGACTGTACATGGCTTTTCTAGGTTTTACTGCAAAGAGAAAGGATTGCAGCCTTACCGCACACTAAGGGAGTCAACTGCAATAACTGAGATTCCCCAGAGGTCTGTGCAAAAAAGGCTAAAACTGTGCTTATCAGTCAATATATAGCGTGTATTATCGGAATAGACGAGGTCTATGAGGAGACTTCTTAGTGTTTTATTATGGAGAGGGATCCGTGCAGTATTCCAGGCAGGAAACAAACACCACACCCCCGTTTTACTTCCTTATTTTGTTGTGAACGCGAGGGTTTTATGTAACGGTAACCTATCCCAACACGACAGCAACCGCCAGCTTCTTGTGTTGGCATGTGATTTACACCAACTGCCAGATCGCACTCCAGCGTTGAAAAAGAGCTGAGTGACAACAACAACAAAAAAGACAGGATTTGGTGTCAGGCTACTTGTTTTGTAATGTGGAGGAGATTTTTCTTTTTCTTTTTTTTTTTTGTAGATAGATCAATCTCTTGCAAAATGCACCACACTTTGTGAGTTTGTTCCTCAAACACAACAATCTACCGGCTGTTGGTTTGCGCGTGAGCTGCACTCCACACCATTTGACTGAGTGCAGCTGGAAAGCATTTGTGTGATTCCATTAACGCGACATCAAGCAGGAACTGTGAGTTAAAACAAATGAGTGTGCGTCTGTTAAGCGGTGGAGCGATGATGCACTTCTTCTAACAATCTAACAGCTCTGATTGTGTGTGTTTTCACATGTGGTTGTTTCTAAATGAATACAAGCTTGGGCGACATTGATGCGACCCGACAGGTAACAAGCAAGGCAGAACTTCGCCTTTTTTTTTCCTTTTTTTAAAAGAAAATTCCCATCTTATTTTCCTGAATTACTGGTGGGGTCCTAGTTTTTCTTTCCAGCTCATGGGAATAACAAGGTTTGTGTTCTTTGAGGTGAAAAAAATATCCAGATCAAAAAAGCATGAAACAGATAGGGCCATTATTGATATTGATCAGGGTAATCATCAGCTGAATCCGACAGGCTAATCATGGTTTGTTTTCTCAACCGAGACAAAGGCAGACAGACACCGCAGACTATCATTCATCTCCAGCACTGTGATGTTTGGATTTGACATGGTAATTTTTCCATCCTGGCCTGAAGGATGGTGCAGATGATCGTCACTTTGTCGCAAGATGAACCACTTCTAATAGCTGCTGCACACTAGTGGATAACCCAGTTTGCCAATTCAGACAATCTGGACTTGAGGCCACTCTGTTCCGATTACCTGCCCAAATACAAAATAATCCTAATGCTACCGATTAAGTTGGATCCTCCCCGATCTCGAATAATCAAATCGTATCTCGTATATCAAGCATGTTTGGTATTTACAATAATTGGCGGGGAGCAAAAGCGAGACAGAGAGCTGGAAAGCGTCACCAACTGGATGTTGCGTACTTGTACAGCTGCGACTAAAACCAACAATACATTTCCAACTCTCCTCCAGATCGCGCTGCAGAATGTATATCCATTCTCAGCCATGACTACATGTAAAACAGACACATTACGTTGGTCCTCCATGTTTGTGATTCTCAAGTCAAGTTTAATCACAGGAGTGTTCCACTCTCCTGGTCAGAAGGTGGCGGTAATGCACCTAAACGTTGATTGCCAATCACCAAATACAAAAACTGAAGCAGAGGATACCGCGAGTTCCAATGTGCGGTCTGACGTCCTGGCCAAATTGTCCAGCGTGTGTTCTTGGTCTGCGGTCAAGTCTGTCAGGAGTTAAAAATCCTCTAGTGTGCAGCTGCCCTAAGATGAACTGTAGTCCGACCACACCCAGAGGAAGTCCGTGCTCCAGCCCCTTGGATGTGTCTCTGTGATGTAGCTGCTGTCAAAAGGCACAAACACTCACAGCGGCACTTGGAATTCACTTGAAAGGTTGAAAATGCAACTGAATGTGAAAACACCTCACCTAATTCTTTTCCTGCAAATACCAATTAACAAACACACACATATTCTCCTTTTTCTCACATGCACAAACACATGCCACAAATTCTGCTAGGGTGAGGCAGTTTAATCTACATATTATTATAGTCTATTATTTCTGGCCTACATTTTGTAGAACTGCCAAGTCAAAACTGGGTCATTTATCTTATTTCATGTTTTTTGTTTTCATTTATTTACTACCTCTGAGCAGTTGTTTAGCAATGTGTCCAATTATTTAATGGAACTGAAATTACCATACCTGAAAGTAAGTTTGATCTGGCTATGGATGTCAGTGTCAGAGTGATGCTCATTCACAGAAACCCATGCTATACCACGCAACTGTATTAGTCAGTAGGTGTATCACAGGACAGGACAATACACACAGCAGAATGTTAATGCAGTTTATTGCTTTGTCCTTTGGTAATTGTGATATTGTGTATTTTTATTTCTTTAATTTTAAATGCAATAAAGTATCATTTGTTTCAAGCCAAGCACACCATTTTTAGGACAAGCCCATGTAAGTGCTTACCTGCAGAGAAAAGATGGATTTGTATAAACCAGCAGGGCTTGCAGGCAAAACATAACAAGCTATGCGTTTCTAGATCACGTGAAAATGAGAGGATTTTATTTATGTATCAAAGGTGTGGAGTTGGTCATATAGCTGACTGACTTCGCTCAATTATAGCACTTGGCCAACACATGGCCAATCTGGCAGCGATTCAGAATTGAGACTGCACTGAGCAGCGCAGACTATAAACCAAAACTGAGCACTGTCACATTCTACATTTAAGTTGCATCATTAAAAGCATCCCTGCTAATTTTCAATACCGAGCAACAATGTTGTTTATGACCTGCCATGAGATCTGTGGTCGCAGACAAAATGTTGCAAACTGGGCTGAAGAAGCAGCACGGAGGACAAGAGCAGTCTGATCTGTGATCTGAGGATGAAGTCCTCTGCCTTTTCAGTGGAAATGGAAAGCAGTCGGCACCTGTCAGATCACTGCAGGAAATCCCACAAGATCACATTTGCTAAAGTTTTGCCCTTGGTCTGAGCCGCGCGCAGCCAAAAGAAAAGCATCATCTTCATTTCCTTGATCTGAAATCCCTGCTGTTCCAAATGTGTAAGAAGAGAGGACACGGAATAATCCAGAAAACCTAGCTCCTTCTTCAAAGCCTGTGTAAAGGATGTCCAGAGATTTGTTTGTATGTGTAAGAAAGTCATTGCCAAAACACAGAAGAAAAGAAATTGAATGTAGCATTTAATTGTGGAGTTAGAATGTTAAACTGTTATTATCATTTTTTTACGTTCAGGATCTTTTGGGCAGGTCAGAAATCACAGTTAATGATGCACTGTAGCATAACCCGTCACCTAATACTGTAACCTCATGAAAACTAGAGTGCATGTGGTTTTCCAACTGATTTTGTGAAGAGCTGTGTTCATAACGCGCTGAGGATCACCTTTGACACCCGCCTCTGATGTGACGATTTGCATTCAGTAGATATATACAAGCTGAACCGACTATCTCATTCCTCGGCTTTCATCTGTCTGGCCGACATTTGGCACCACTGTTAACAGTACATGTCCGACAATGCGTGTGAGGTGCCTTGTGTGCCTGCGATTTATACGTGTGTAACGGCAAACATTGAGGGACAGGTCACCTAATTCAGACTTAGAGCTAAATGCAGTGTACTGTTAATGCAGCCCGGCTCTTCAGGACTTACATACAGATTTTTAAAAATCAACATTCTTTTGCTCCCATGCTGAGCAACAGCAGCAGAGAACATCATCATGGTCCAGCAAAGTGAACACCAGAAGATAAGATTCCTATTTTATTGGGGGGGCAATTTCCATAGCACACATTCTTTCTGCACAGCATTAAACAAAAAATCAGCCTCTGTGCAAAGGCAAAGGCTCCAAATTCCCACCACGCTCGACTTCTAAAAAGAATATGCAAGATGCACAGCGATTCTCATTCAAGTCAAACTTAAAATGATAAAACCTAGCAACCCGGGGAGAGGATGTGGGAAAGATTTCTGATCCTCCTCCAGTTCAAATCGGAAACTGCACTAAAAAGACCTGAATACACATCCATGTTCCTATTTCTGTCCGACTCCAATCAGCCAATTCTGAATCACAGCCCATGAAGGCTTATATTTTGGAAGTGGTGCTGCATATTTATGTTGATATGACCAATTCCACTGTCTGTTGGAAGACTGCATAGGGCACATTCTTTCTTTTGGCCCAATCACACATTGGTCCAGTTGGAGCATGGGCTGATTGGAAAAAAGTGGTATATTTTTTTTCTTTGTTTCCATATGTGCAAAGTAAGAGAACATTCTGTAACGAGAATTTGACACCATTCGAGAAAATAATGACCGAGCTTGTGTTGCACTTACCAGATAGTACTATTAATTTTAGGTGTCGTGACATTTGTGTGATTTGCATTGCAGTCTGGGAGAGAGGATGTTTGGATGTGAACTTTGGTTGGACATGCAAAATCGAACCTTTGTCTCAGCTGCCAGGGGATGATCATAGCAGACGCAAGAAGTAGTCCCATCATGTGATGTTTGCCTGGCTACAAGTTCACAGCGCTCTCTTTGTTCGGACTGTTCACAAGCGGAGGGAGACACCATGCTGTTTGACTTCCTGCATTGTAAAGGATTGTTGGTTCATATGTATTTTCTTGATGACACGTGTGTGCTCATATTTAAGATGATAATAATAAAATGTTGTATCTTAACATCAGGTGTATGGAATATTATTTATTGTCAATGGAATATTAAGGGTTAGTATCCATGTGAACACACAGCATCTGATGTTCTGATGTGCTGCTGTGCTGCGCTGCCAACAGACTTCCAAGCGACCAGGCAGCAGAGTTCCTTATAGTTGCACATATCCAGTAACAAGGCAAACCTATTGATTTCTGTATCCCTCAGAAGCCCTGACCTTGGACTGAGCTCATTGTGGTCTGCGTGCTACATTACCAACAATGGCTAACTGCAGCGCTCGAAATGACATCAGTGTGTGTTTGAGGCTGAACACAGTGTGTTCTAAAGATTCTGGTACATCAATTATGTACAACCACAGCAGGAGGCCTTATATAATGCTCTGACTCTTTTCTCTCCCTGCGCCGTGAATGTTAATTGCATGCTGTCGCTACATGCAAAAAACAATTTCCTATTCTCATTCATTTTCTGTATAGATGACATACATAACAAAAAACTACGGTCTCTGCTGTGTTGTCGCCGGCATTGATGCTTGGGACCTGGAGCGATGCTTCACAGTCTGATAAATAATGTAAAGCATGTCTATGATATGTACAGTATTTATGGTTTGAGGTTTGTGTCGATATGTTGATAACCTACCGCTCTTATTCAGCCTCAACAAATATTTAATTCATGCAAACATCTGTTTTGCAACTGAGAGTTGCTCCATACACCAGAGACCAGAGAAAGGCAGTGACGCTTAAAGATAAAATATATTTTTAACTCTTATATCTTAAGTTAAAAGGCCAGTGTCCCTAAAATCGGAGGTAAAACAGAAATGACATTTGAGACTTTTCTCTTTTGTAAAAAAAAAACAATACACCCGAAACCTCTGTGGAGCAGCTTATTACGACCCATAGTCACATTTTCAGGCAAACTCCAGCTGTCATGGTAGATAATTACGATGGGTGTAACGGAGGAAGTCAGGCAACAAAGTACAGAGAGCGACAAGGTCAGTGTTAGGAGGAGTTGTGTGTGTGTGTGGATAGATGGTGACTGAAACAACGAGAAACAGGATGAGGGAGACTTTTGTTAACAACAAAGATGGCTGCCATTGATGGAGTGTTCAAGCCACTATCACAACAGTATTAAACAAACAGGATGGTCAATTTTCTAGATGAGAAAAACAAGAATATGCACATACAGCATCTATTGATACCTTAGTCTCATGTTTCATTACTTCTTTTAATTCTATCATTTACATCCAGAGGCATTTTGGCCTGTGACCAAAAGGTTCCTGATCTATTCGCAAATGCAAATTGCTCCATCGAAGTTAGAGCTCATCGTTGTAAGGTAATTGAAATTGCTGTGTGCCTGTGTCATCTAGTTTGATAGTCTTCATCTGCAGAGTTTACCTGAATGTTTTGCAAAAGCTATCATTCCACAATTTTTCTATTTGACCTTTTTGTTTCCCACAATTTCATCATCCTGTATGGCAGGATGACTCTCCTCATAGATTTTTTACTGTCTGAACAGTGTCTGTGTACGTGTTTTCCCCCTCCTCATTTTGACCATGCACAGCTACGTAAGTCAATTACTAAAGCCAAATAGGATGATTGTGCGGAGTTGATCCAAAAGCAGAACAGATAGCCTGCAGCAGATTGATCAAACATTACTAGTTCATCATCCTTAATGTGAGAATTAGTTTTCCCAATAATTCTTTCTAAGTCCCCCAGACCTTTGTTCACTACAAGCATGTTTGGATCTATATTTGTATGCTGCAACCTAGTAGTCTAAGGTTCTCGTCCTCACAGTAGGAGGAGCACTGACTTGCAACTTGTTCTCCCATTGGTTGTTGCCAGTTTCATTCAGGGTTTCATGCAAACCAGTGTTGTGAATGAATGCGTTCATATTTTTTTGTGAACGCTGAACTGAACGAATCAGTTTACAGATGCTGCATGTGAAAGTTTTTTCCTAATGTGATATTTCACATGGTGGCCTATACAACCCCCCCACGCACTCACAGCGACACAGTAAGATGAGAGGATCAGCTTGTTAACGTGACACAGCCAATAAATTACTTTGTTGAAGAACATTCGCAACAGTGAAAAAATACAGAGTTTCCACTACGGTTTACTGCTTCATGATGAGAGCAGAAACAGCAGTTGGTTTTTACCGTGCTGGAGTTTCCTGTGTCGTCCCTCCACTCGCCTGTTGACCTGCACTCACTTGAATTCATACACCAACACTCATCACAAGTTATTAGAACCTCATCAGTACATGAAGTTTCCTTTGTGTTTGATTCACTCCAAAGTTTTTGAGGCTGCATTTAAACATAATGTGCACGCTCAGTGAAAATGAGAATCATGATCTGAAACCATCGATAAATAATTAAATACAAGATCGTAAGTTTGTCACCTAAATCATAACGATCCCACTAAAAAAGACAGAACAAATGAACTAGTTCATTTTGGAACCGTTAACTTAGTTAAAAAATTATGAAAATGATCTAGTTCTTGTTCATTGTAAACCAGCACAACACTGATGCAAACAAAAGGTGAAACAGAGCTACTATGACAGTCTCATCCGTTTTGTAATCTCTGACTCTTCCCATCCCCAACACATTCTGAGCTAACAATATCCTGGAGTCAATCCCAGCTGACATTGGGTGGGAGGCAAACCCTGGACAGGTCGCCAGCAAATCACAGGGCTGACATACAGAGACAAATCTTCACAATAATGGATGATGTAGAGTCTCTCTTTGGATTGTGTGGGGAGAGAACCCACAAAAACCTGCTTGCAACAAGCAGACTCCACACAGAAAGAGAGAATTTTGAACTAGGAAAGTTCTAAAAAAAATGTCCATGATTTATTTATGCGATCTGTGTAGTTATAATTTTTATATTTTTTTATGAACACATGCACATAGTCAAAAAAGAAATATAATGCTTATTGAATATGTCTGCCACTGTATTTTATTGGATTAATAACAGCTTCCTCCAAAGCTCTTAGTTGTGATTAGGGAAAGATCATTGGATATTCATTACCAAACTAAGATACCTACAGAGATGGAACAAGCAGGCTCATTCTACCAGCGGATAAACTGTGGATGCTAATTGTCAAACAGTAGGTACAGTACTCATGTTGCAGAGCGCCCACTTAGAGGCCCATGATAGACAGCAAAGCGCTGGAGACATGTCTTGCTGTCTCTCCACCCTCATGCTGTCCTCCCTATATTTCCACTTAATTAATGTCAAAATGGAGTAGAAACAATTAGGAATCTGTATCCAACGGTTCTTGATTTTTCTTTCCACTCTCCTCATTTCCTCCCTCATTGAGGCGAGTAGACCATCTTAATAGCTGGTAAACATCTTTTGATTGGACTGATTGTCTCACTGGACTATGAGTGCACTGTAGCTGAGCGGAGGAGAACAACTGAGGCGGAATAGCGCAGCGCTTATCACAACCAAAGAATATAACATCTGTTGAGGGGAGCCAGACTGCAGATTCTTCCGTGCAAATTCAGATGAAACAGCATTTTTCAGTTGGATCCGGTTGCTTTGCCAGATTTCACTCATGTAAGAGACATTACTCAAAGTGTATTTAAGAGCTCATAATGATTTACATAAATGCAGAGTGTGAGGGAATCATTTAAGTATTTCAATTACAGGATCCTTGAACAACTCGTTATGGAGACTTTTGGATAAAGTATCATTTGGAACAGCAACACCTACACCATGGTTTTCTTCAGTGAGCCAAACACTATGGCAGTATGTCACTTCCCAATTTCCAGATCTGGTATTGGACTCTCCACATATGTTCACTGTTGTATTGCTTCAGCCCAGCTCTTCAGCCTGGGTTAAGATCGAGGTCAACTCCTGCAGACCAACTTCCCTGCTCCCTGTTTCAATGGGTATTGCCTCAGTGACTCCAATCTAATGGCAAGAAATTCCTAAAATGGGCTGGTCAGGAAAACGTTTCAATAGATGATACAACATTTCTGCGGACTACATACTTTTGAGATTTCGTTATCGATAATGCCTTTTTTGACCAAATAGTTTCCAAATTCTCCCTTCACCAGATATATACAGGTGAATAAATATATAAGGTTCACCTAAACATGCTACTGACACATTACTTGATGACCCACACAAGAAAATGCCTGCATATTGAGTCAGGAAAATACATACTGGTTTCCATCATTGTCAATTAACAGTAAATAATTAGAAAATTCCCACAAATTTGTGTTTTTTTAAAGTTATTTATTTTTCTTTCTATGCTGCACATTTCATGTATGTATGTTTTGAGTTCAAATTAATGATCCTAATATTTGTTCAGCCAGTAAGGTGTGGCAATTAACGATGCCTACGGGGTCTCCCAGCAGCAACCAGAGATGAACCATTCGCTATTCAGCATTCTTTTTATTTATTATGCCTCTTAAACCTGAGGAGTAACCAGCTAACAGCCCTGAGCTGCTCTGATTACTCCCCTGGTACAGGTGGAGGTGCTCTCTGAGCCTCCTCCACATACCCCCATCTACAAACTCAGGCCGGGTAGCCATCCGGCCTGACCTACTTTTCAGCATTCTATTTATTTTTTTAATGGGCACCAACACATAAAATCTAACAAAACTCAACTTAATGTGTCAAGCAGTCTTCGCTTGGCAGCTCAGCTCCGTCTCATATCATATATATCCCTCAGTGGCATGGACTTTTATATCGGGGGGGGAGATATTCCACCTCATCTTTTGCGAGCTTGGGGGTCCCTGATAATATATCCACCATAAAACCAGATATTGGTTTGTTACCTCGGGGCAACAATGTTCTACAAGGGTACTGATACACTAAGGTTTTCTATAGTGCATGTAATAAGTGTAAAAGGAAAAAAAAAAAAAAGCAATAGCTGCGTTAGAAAAGGTCTTATTTTCAAGAAATGTTTCCAACCACTCACAATTAGAAGCTTAAAAGTCAAATCCTCAAAC